TGTGTGTGTGTGTGTGTGTAATACACAAGCACATACACCCACCCACACATACGCAAACATACACACAAACACACACATACAAACACACACATGGACAAACACACACAAACGCATACGTCCGTTAATTTATCAAGGGGTCTCTTTCCTCTGTTTCTCTATCTATCTATCTATCTATCTATCTATCTATCTATCTATCTATCTCGTATCTATCTATCTATCTATCTATCTAATACCCCCCTCCGCTTTCCAGCCCCATCCCCTACCCCCAAATCTCAGTTCCTCACGACCCAGATATCCCCTCTGACAGTGCCACAAGTAACGAGGTATGTTTTTCCACAATATCTTTACCTCCACCATTGATGTGTTTGCCGTCTGAAGTGTCGCTCTTTGTTCTAGAGCTCTGTAGATATGTGATGGTGTGGGCGATCTGCATGGGGGAGAGACACGAGGAGGGGGGAAGGGGAGGATGAAGGAGGTGGGTGTGATTGAGAGAAGAAAGAGCAGGGGGATATAAAGGAAGAGGGGATGGAGAGGGTGATTAAAGTGACAGAGGAGGGTGTAAGAGACAGAAGATGGAGGTATGAGGGAGACAAGGAGGAGAGGGGTGAGGAAGAAAAGAAAAAAAGTGATGAGGGAGAGAAGGAAGAGGGGGTGAGGGAGAGAAGAAAGGAGAAGTGAGGGAGAGAAAAATAAAAGATGAGGGAGAGAAAAGGGAGATGGTGTGGGAGGGAGGATAGAGGGGGTGAGCGACAGAAGGGAAAAGGGTTGAATGAGAGAAGGAGCAGACGGGTAAGAAGAGAGGAGGGATAAAGAGCAGACGAGGAGAGGGGAGTGGGGGAGGGCGGCTGAGGAAATGGGAGAAGAGAAGAAGACAGACTTAGAAAAAAGGGGGGACCCGGGAGTGAGAGGAGAAAAGGAGGTAAGGGAGAGGAGAGATCGAGGGAATGAAAGGAGGGGAGGAGATGGATGACTATCTGAGGCGTGAGGAGGGGAGGGGGTTCGTCGTGGGTGTGGCAGACCTGCATAGTTCAGAGGTCATGAGATACAGAGAAGCCAGCATGTTACGCACCTCAATGTCTTCCTGTGACGGTTTGAACTCGGTGGGAGCAGAATATCACACCGGTCACGGCTGTAGGACATCAACGCAGTTGAGAAGTCCCCGCTACC